GCTGCTGCTGCGGCCGCGGCGACGGCGCCGACGGAGGCGCCGCCGGGCCCCGAAGCCGCAGCAGCAGCAGCAGCAGCAGCAGCAGCAGCAGCAGCTCCCCTCAGCTGCCTCGTCGCCGTCTGCGAGGCCTGCATTAACTGGTGCAAGTGCGAGAAGCGGGGCTTTCTGCGCATGCGGATAGAACTGACGCTGGCGCGGGCGCAGGTGCAGCACGGGCTGCTGCAGCAGGCGCAGCAGCAGCTAGCAGCAACTTTGAAGGAGTGCAAACGCCTCGACGACAAGCTGCTGCTCGTCGAGGCCTTTCTCCTCGAGTCCGAGATCTTCTTCATTCTCAAAAATGTCCCCAAAAGCAGAGCAGCACTCACTGCAGCAAAAACCAACGCCAACGCAATCCACTGCCCCCCCACGCTCCAGGGGCAGCTCGACCTCCAGGTGCCTGCTGCTGCTGCTGCTGCTGCTGCTGCTGCTGCGCTGCGCTGGTCTGGCAACTATTGCTGCTGCGCTGTTGCTACTGCTGCAACTAGCTGGTACTGCTGCGCTGCTGCTACTACTGCGGCAACTGCTGCTGCCGCTGCTACGGCAACTGCTGCTGCTGCTGCTGCTACGACTACTGCTGCTGCTGCGCTGCTGCTGCTGCTGCTGCAGGCGGGGATTTTGCATGCGCAGGACAACGACTACCGAACAGCATTTTCTTATTTCTACGAAGCTTTTGAAGCTTTCAGCGGACAAGAAGCAGCTCAGGAAAGCCACAAGCGACACCAGCAGCAAACCAAGGCTGAGGAGAAGACAGTCGCAGCAGGTGGGCCATTTGCAACAAAAATAAAAGACTTTTGTTTCGTTTTAAAGGCCTTTTCACATTTCTTGAACTATTAAAAGCCTTTAGGATTGTTGCTCTTTTGAAGCCCTTCTAAAGGCCTACATAATGAGTTTGGGATGTGGGGTGTACATACACCTGAATGGAAGTGGTTGGTCTGTCTGTACACCTGAAGCATATGGTGTGTCTGTCTGTACACCTGGAGCATGCGGGGCGCCTGTACAACTGAAGCATGCGGGGTGTGTGTACACCTCCAGTGTGCGGGGTGTGTGTACAGCTGAGCATGTGCATGTGGGGTGTCTGTACACCTGAGCGTGTGGGTGTCTGTACACTGAAGCGTGTGGGGTGTCTGTACACTGAAGCGTGTGGGGTATCTGTCCAGCTGAAGTATGTGGGGTGCACGTACACTCTGAAGCGCGTGGGGTGTACGTACACTGTGAAATTTTGTGGGGTGTACGTACACTGTGAAATTTTGTGG